GTTTCTTTCTGTTATTGCGCAACTCTTGCTTCATAATGGGATTGTCCTAAACTATTTCTATTCTTATGTAACTCATGCGCAACTCTTACAAAACTGTTATTCAACTTTTGTACTATATATAGTCGTTATTTTCCTTCAAATAAACGTATCGGAGTGAGAGTTGATTCTCACTATAGCTTCACTACTACGATTAGAGTTAGCCACTAGAGGATCGATATCCTCACAATGACCCGAAGAGAAAGTTGGAAAGTCATGGTAGTTCAGAAAGTTCTCTGACAACTCTCATTTGGCTTTTACATTGGCGTTCACCTGTGATATTGCGAACCTTATAACTCAGAAACTAAACGTTACCCTTTTTAAAAAAATAATTTCGCATAGAGTACAACTTGTGTACTTCTGCCAGAAACACTGGAGAGGGGTACCTTCAAATCTGCTAACTTTTTAATCTGGGAAGTTGCCAGAATATACATTAATTTTTTGACAAGTGAGATTTTCCTTTTGGATAAAAACATTAAATTTGTTCTTTTCTTCGTTTCTTGCTTTATATCTATTTCTATATGCACACAGGCCCAAGCGTCAAAAAAAAATCTACTATCGCCCGATTTATCTAGATTACTAGAGTTTTTACTCGATTGCAACTACTGTGTAGCGACAGTGGAAATCTAGTAATTGGGCGATTGCTACATTTCATCTAGTTGCAACTATCGATTTATCGCCCGATAATCGAGCGATTTAACTATTGCTAGATGCACATGCGGACGCATCTAGTTAAAAGTTTCTTTTCCAACTAGTAATCTAGATGACAGCTAGTCGTGTATCGCCCGATTATAGACGAAATGTATCTAGATTTTCCTCATAGGTGATGTTTGCTTGGGAGAAGGAAAAAGAGATCAGAAAGAAAGAAAAATGATATAAAAGAGAAAGAGAGAAAGTGGCAGTCTTTGATGTCTACGGTTGAATATAGTATAATATACTGTGAAAACCGACAGTGGAGGATCCGGGTCCAAAAAACGCGGGTACCCCGACGAGATCTTTGCGGCGTACAGCGTAATTAGTTGCGCTGATTCCGAATATCTAAGTTTCAAAAATTCCGTTTCTCTAGAAAAAAGCCATCGAATTTTGATATGATTGTTTGAAATTGCCTGTCATCTATACGATATTGTATCTATGACAAGAGCTTGCTTTCACAAACAATCATCTTGACGTCTTGCGATCTGTGACATAACAGAGTTTGAATATATGTAATATTTATTTTTTAGAACGTGTGAAAATAATTCAAAAGTGGTTTTATATGCTGCCGAATATTAAAACATTTACTACTGGTTCTCGTACATAGATCAATGGAGTTTGAAGAGTTGCATCTACTGGTGGTCTTTTTTTTCAGAAAATCTTTTGTTCTCATGGTGAAATTCGCGAAATACAAAGAAGTATGAAAAAACGCATCCTTCACATGAAGCGCCTGCCATTTTTTCTACCTTCACTCTACGATTTTGAAACGAAGTTTTTTAGAATCAACATGTCAAACTTCATAGGAACACGTGCTCTTAAAGTTCGAAAGAGTCATGCTCGCTTCCGCAAAAAATTCGCTTTTTGAGGCCGGACAGAAAACACACACTGCCAAAAAAGCATCAAGTCACCCAGGATAACAGATAGAGCCTTGATTCTTGCGCCATTCGATCGGCCTTTATTCGTACTACAAAAGTATAACTCAGTTTTTTTTGAAATTCCTCTCCACTGCTGAGAAATTTCACTTTTGCTAAATCAGGAGCGAAAAACTCGAAATTGTGCCTGTGATTTGTAATTTTCACCATCAGAACTCACTTGTTATGCAATAAAAGTATCATATTCGGAGTCAGCGTCAAAAACTGAGTAGAATGACGTACCTTTTTATCCTATTTAACCACCTTTGTTTTTTTCGAAAATGACTGAGATTTTCACCAAAAAATGAAAATCAACGGAAACTTTCACATCATATAGCATTCAACTCAATTTTTGATCGATTTCGATTGTTGGGAAAACTGTAGAGAGTTAGAAATTTAAGTTTCGATGGGTTTCTCATTTCGAGGAATTGGGATTCCGATTGGGCGCGTCCCTCGAAAAAATTTTCGATCCATCGGGTAGGGATATTCCGAAACTTACGATCCCTCGCTGCATCTATCGAATGAGGTTTTTTTTATCTGCTTGAGTGTACGGCTAATTTCTTGATCCGGAAAGAGTTATTTAAAACTCTAAATATGAAGAACTCGCTAAAAAACTTAGGACATCTTGCGTGAAAGAAAACAATCTTGCGCCTTTCCCCTAAAACACCTGAGAAATTTTCTCTTTGTGATCTCGCGTAGAAAAACATGCGGTTTTATCAGACGAAAGGGAAGTGAGATCAATCGGATTTTATCAAGTTCTCTCTTTGGTTGTGCAGTTTTCGACTTCTTTTTTCTTGACGTTAGATATCAGAGAAAACGACAAAATATCTTTAATTATTTTTCTGTTAGAACTTGCTTTAAAAGTATTCGAGGTGCTGTAATGTTATCAAGTATTCGTATAATATTTAGTTTGGACTTAAGCTTTTCAGATATATGCAGAATGAGTATATTTCTTTTCTGTTCCAGCTGCTCTTTCTCACATCGAGAGATTAGATGGATATATTCGCTTGATAAAAGAAGAACAAATAAATAGTTAGTTTTCTCAATTACTAGTGTACTCGTCGCACTATAATCACATTACAAATATGTCTCAGTATCTCGTACTAAGTTCGTTCATTGCATTTGTTCTAATTTCAATCATTTATTGTGATACAAGTGTTATTCGAGTTGTGAACAGTGGTTCAACAAATACAGATGGCTTCGATATCAAAATAACACGTGACGGTATAACAAAATGGATTGTGTACCCTCGTTCTCGTCCATTTGGTAACAATAATTATCAACCAACAGAAAAAGGATTCAAATTATCACAAGAATTTACGAACACATTATTCAATCAAATCGAAGGTACCATGCCACTAAATCAATATCCGGACACACGTTGTATCAAAAGTGCATCATTTGGTTCCACACTTCGCGTTTCATACAACGATCAAACATCACCCGATTTAACTTGTCCAATTGACGATGAAAAATTGGCAACATTATATACACTAGTACGCGATCTCATAAAAAAATTATATATTAATTAAAGCACGGTTGATCCGACGTAGTTACTTTATTAATATTCAGAGGACGTTTACATTGTGGCATTTTATTATAATAAACTGTGTCTGCTGTATATCAGAAAATGGAATTACAGAAAAATGAGAGAATGGTAGTATGTGTATGGTATGTAGAGAATAATAAAAGTGATCAATAGTAGCTTTTCAAACTTAAAAATACTTACGCCTGTGAATAGTTTTTCGATCGGAATTGCTAAAGACGTGCCATCTCATAGGCACCCTTTATTTTGATCAATTGTTTTAATTAATCAACCGAAAGGTACAGATACGAAGAAATAACTGTAAACAAAGATTATGCTACATCAGAGTTGTAACCGGATTGATCGATTGACCGGTAACCAATCCGATTAAATTTTTTTAATCAAGACCGATATTCACCGGTTTTTTACCGATTTATTTTTTTGAAAAAAATGCTTTTTCGGATGTTGTTTTGTCCAAAAACACGTGAAAAACATAGACAAAAACATATCGCAAGTGAACAAAGAAGTTTATCAGATCCAGATTGTGTTGAATCTTTGGTAGTAATTAAAGTTCTTTTAAATAATATGTGACCGAATTCTGATTAACCGACGTTTGAGCGACCGACATTTGAACGCCGACAGTTGAGCGCCGACAGTTGAGCGACCCGACATTTGAGCGACGGATATTTGAGCGACCGACGTTTCAGCGACCGACATTCGAGCGACGCCGACATTTGAGCGACGCCGACATTTGAGCGAACAGGACTCCGACTCTTCCACGAATTTTTCGTAGTACACATTCGGATATTTTTGGCAGTGTTTTGTGTGAGGTGGGGGTGTGGGCAGTATGAGAGTGAGTTCAAAAAGTAGTTTCACACAAAACATGTAATCATCGTGCGAAACTAATTGACTAATTAGTACTAATTAACGTTAATTTAGCCTACTCAACCAGCTTAAAGTCCCATCCGTAAAATAACGACTCAACCAAAAAGTTCAAGCGATACCTCAAGTGATAGAGAGTTTCACGGGCTACGCGATAGGCTACCTTCAAGTATGGTCTTATTCTAATCGAAATCATGCGCTCATAAAGCCTGGTCAGTTCTTTAGTGGAGAAAGAAATCAGACCTGCTTAACTGCCAAATATGAATGCTGGAACTTCTAAGGTAGCCTATCTTGTAGGTAGCCTATCTCGTGAGATTCTCTGTCACTTGAGGTATCGCTTGAACTTTTTGGTTGAGTCGTTATTTTACAAATGGGGCTTTAAGCTAGCTGACTAGGCTAAATTAACGTTAATTAGTGCTAATTAGTCAATAACAGGCAAGGACCAAGTTTTTATGATGAATTGAGAATGGCTAGGAAATTTTGTAATAATAGCCCCGTGCTCAAGATTAACGGACATTTGAGCGATCGACATGATATCTAAGTGAAGTTAGGTGGCGAATGCCCAAGTAGACAAACATTTCGAAAAACGCGTTTAAACGCTCAAAAGGGAACCGCGATTGTGAGTCAGTAACGCTCATTAAAAAAACGCAAGAAACGCGTTTTTTGCGCAAAATTTTCACAAATCTCATTCGAACATCTCATTTTGTACAAAAATGGTTGCACTACAAAATGCATTTGTTACAAAAGTTCTATGTATTCCTGGCAAAGCTTAGTGGATTTTAAAATGCACCAAATCACGAAAAACTTTTCGAACAGTTTTTTGCTGTGATTTACTGCATTTTAGAATGCTAAAAGTTATTTTCGAAATAAATTTGGATCTTTTGTAACAAATGCATTTTGTAGTGCAACCATTTTTGTACAAAATGAGATGTTCCGCAGCTTTGAGCAAATCGTGATAACTGATGTATAGCAATTCTTCCGGATGCTCCAACACCAGGTTTTAACTGGTGCATAACTACAGAGAAGTGTAATGGTGTTGTGAAAAAGAATAAATGAAAATTGTGTCTTTGTTATACGGTAAAAGATTTTTTTAGTCAGTAGCCCACCTAAAAATTCCAACCGCCCAGCCGAAAAACGAAACCTAGATAAAACACTGTTCATGAAGGGTTTTATAGATGTTCATACAGGAGAGCGACGATGATTCTGCTAACGAATGAGCAGAATCTTTTCCATTCTACTACTTTCTAAATTTTCTTATTGATCTGTAAGGATTTACTTTCTTTTCTTTTCAAGTTTTACCATAATATTAAGTGAAGTCTTTATCACAAATAGTGCACGCACATCTACTGTTGTCTTTTACATCTTAAAAGGATAGAGTTTGAAATCTGAAAAAAAGAACACATTAGCTCGTCGTTTTAAGCATCATTTGATCACGTACGTCCCTTTCATCACACAAATACGTATGCTTTTGACGTCAGTTTTAGCATTGTTAGATGGAAAACAGGTCGAAATGTCGTATAAAATCCATTGCATCAGCCACTAAACTTACACAAAAATCGTTGCCTCCTGAAGCTCCACTAATTTGTCTTTTCAACTTCTTCTATCAAAATATTTTTTTCAATGTAAATTAGATTATTGGAATTTTTAATGGGATGAACAATGACCTATCCTAGGTCTAGCGGTGTGTACGTCGTGTATCAGAAATACTCTGTCAGTAATTTAAAATTTAAGTTGACACTTGACAATGTCTTATTGTGGATCTACTTCAATCGGACTCGCTGTCAACGGACGTTTGAGCGAACGACATTTGAGCGGCGGATATTTGAGCGACGGATATTTGAGCGATTGACGTTTCAGCGACCGACATTTGAGCGAACGACATTTGAGCGAACAGGACTCCGACTCTTCCACGAATTGTTCATAGTACACATTTGGATATTTTTGGCAGTGTTTCGTGTGAGGTGGGGGTGTGGGCAGTATGAGAGTGAGTTCAAAAATTTACTAGTAAAACAATCTATTTCATTATGTACAGGTGCACTCATCTGAATGGTAGTAAAGAAATCTGATATGTATTTACAGAAAAGTTTCAATCCTAAAAAAAAGAATAAAAAAGAATACATCCGCAGCAGAAAATAGCTATATACATTTGTTTTCATCAATATCAATCAACATGTAGTGTTAGCAGTGTACCTGAAAAGAACATTATGTTTTTTTAAACCATATTCTTACATTTACCCTTTTTTGAATGGCATTTGGTGGAACAGGCGACCCCGGCCTTTTTACAAGGACAGTGTTTAGTGGCACATTGGCTTTTACAGTCACAAGTAGCTCCATTTATTGCTCCACGGACATATAATTTCGAAGCTTCAATCAAAGACAGTTCCTTCTCTAAATCAAATAAATTAAGAGACTTTAATTCATTAGGACAGCTACTTCGTAGATCAATAAGACTTTCTATACCAAATCTGTCTTTCAAGAATCCGAATTGGCACGCTAAAAAAAAACATAATCGTCATCTTTCTTTTCTTTACTAACAACTAAGCATGGTAAAATTTTTGAATCTGTATTTGTCCTGTCAACAGTATGAATTCGCACTCCAACACAATCATTTTTTTTATACATTTCTGCCAAACTACCTAGATGTTCATCATACGCTTTTCTTCGTTTATTAGCTGGTTCTAAATAATTATCTTGCGCTTTGCGCCGAATACTTTCATGTCTTATTGGGTTATTTTCTGATGAATTATAGCTTATAAAAGATGAGGATGATTGAGAAACACAATTAGTTTTTGAAATAGAATTCGTAGCAGGTGCTGTAGATATTGACTGTAAATCTGAAAGTACTAGGTTATTTTCGTTACTTAAACATGTGACTGGGCTGAAAGTTAAATTATGTAAGTCAAAAAGTGTTGTTGATACTCGTTGAGGAGATGGAGGCGAATCAAAAGATATTAGATTTTCTGTTACTGGGTTATCATTAACAATCAACGGTTGTTGAAGTGAAACATGCAGAGTAGATGGTGATAAATCAAGAAGGCATTGAGAAGTAGATTGAAAGATGCTAGCATTTAGAGGACTGGGTAAACATGTTACATTTGAATTAAGAGATTCTTGATGATCAATATTATCAATTATATTATCAATTGTCTTAGATGTTCTTCATCAACAATATCTTGATCTTTTACAATTTTCCAAAATTCGGAATCACCTCGAGAGTGTTGACCAAACATAATTTCGTAGGGTGTGGCTCTAGTAGTGTCAGATGTTCTTGTATTGATGCCGTAAACTACAGGCGATAAACCTTCTGGCCAATGTGTTGTGTTATTTGTTTGTAACCACTTTCCTAACGATAAACTTAAGACGCCGTTCGCCCTTTCTATGCATCCTTGCGATTGTGGATGATGTGGACGACCACGAATAAAGCACAAATTAGGAAAAACTGTTTTTAGTTCTAAAATAACGTTAGCAGCGAATTCTGATCCATTATCTGAATGTAATAAACGTGGGGGACCAAAAGTAAAAAATAACTGGCGAAGTTTTACAACTACTTCTTTGGCTGATTTGTTTTCTAATGGATAAGCCCAAGTGAATTTTGAAAAATGATCAATACAATGTAATATCCAACAGTAAACAACGCCTGCAGAAACAACATCAGGTCTTGTTCTCATATCTATTAAATCAATTTGTAGACGTGTCATAACACCTAATGATATGATAGGTTTCGAAACAACTGACTGTTTTAATGGTTTTCGAAGTTGACACGGAAGACAATGCCTTAAGAATATTTCTACAACAGCTCTAGGTACCCATGAATAATGCGAATTAATTTCGTTTAGAGTTTTCGTTCTACCACCATGTGATACATTTAAATGGCATTCTTTCATTACATTAAAAAATGATTCGTAAATACACAGCGGTTTTTTGTTTTTCGAACAACAAACAATATCAGTTCCAGCAATTTTCTCAATTATAAAGTTTTTCCTAGCCCAAAATACTAACTTTGTAGGAATTGATTCCGAAGATGTACCTTTCTCTAATAGTAAACTTTTGAGTATTTTATCATATGTTTCTTTTCTTATGAATGTTTTCTCTCGATACTTTTCTTGTAATGAAGCAACATATTTTTCAACGTCATCAAAAAACCCTTTTTCAGAACCATCAGTTATACCAGGTGCGCAAAGAAGAGATGAAGTGTCTGTAGAAGACAAGGTAGTAACAGATGATGAAGCAACAGCTGACATTCTAATTATTTAAAAGAATAATTAAAACTTAATTACCTTTAAAGTTGAACAGGAACTTGTCGATAATACTTTAGTAATTAACGAAGTAGAAAATATTCAAAAAAGAAAGTAATAATCTTTAAGCAGAAGGATAAGATTCTTTATAATACTATTTACAAAACAGTTGCAAGTTAAAATGGTTGCTGATTACCGCCAATACAACTTATTTATATAATCTCATCCAACAGTAACGGCGGGCGAGGAATTAATGATAAAATGTTCACAAGATGATCGAATGTAGCATCTAAATCTGATCAGACAAGAACAATTATATAAAAGAATTAAACCCTCGGAATATAGCAAAGAACGAGTTAACGCATTTGACTGCGTTCTTTTAATAATTAATAAGTTTACATGATTATAAAAATTTAAATAACAGTTGATTGCATGATATATCAATATGATATTATATAAAAAGCATGATTATCAATTTTAAATAACAATTGCATTTCACTCTTGTAATATCTCAGATTTGCCAAGATTCCAGTTTTGACCAATATTTCTCTAGTTAAAACTAAAATTTCAGTTTTGCCCGTAACATATATACAAGAGACTATCATAATCAATGATAATTAAGTTTAGTTATGCAATGGAATGAAGTCATTTCACAAGTGGATTTGCAAATGAGCCAGTATTATTGGATCTTGCTAACTGAACAGGCCAGTGGGTGTGATAATTTGTGATGAAGTCCTGAAAACAGAAAACTTTTTAGCTAGAACGAATGAAGGCACCATAAACACACGATGGCACATCACAGTTAGACTGTTTGAACTTGAAACAAATATCAGTGATATTTCTAAGACGGTCGGAGTCGATGTCCATGTATCCGCTTCAAAACCAGGCGTAGCGAGTCACGGGGACGAAGACTAACAAGGAGAGTTGATTGTGTAAAACAAGATTACATTCTCATACTCAGTTTTTGATACTGATTGAGAAAAAAAGGATTTTCGAAACTTCGTGGGACACAAATGATGAAAAGTTGAAAATTTTTGAAGTATTCCATGTAGAAATTGCAAATTTTTTTTGGTTGGTCACGCAAAAAAAAGTGCAAAAACATAATTGGCGTAACGCAAAAAATGGTTACAAATCCGAGATTCTGCATATTCTTATAGAACAAAATATTTACAAAATTCTGTATTAGTCCATTAAGTTAATAATATTAATTTTGTTAATTTATGAATTTGCTCTATAAGAATATGCAGAATCTCGGATTTGTAACCATTTTTTGCGTTACGCCAATTATGTTTTTGCACTTTTTTTGCGTGATCATGGAAAAAAAATTTTGCAATTTCTACATGGATACTTTCAAAAATTTTCAACTTTTCATCATTTGTGTCCCACGAAGTTTTCGAAAATCCTTTTTTTCTCAATCAGTATCAAAAACTAAATATTTTAAATATTTAAATATTTTGTCTTTACGACATGTGGACAGTCTAGATCTATGTGACAAATGTGATATATAGATGACAAAAAAGAAAAGAACGGCATATACATCTTATCTGCATGAGGCCTAATGTGTTCTTGAAGTCGACTGAGTGAAACTCAAGGAGAATTATTGCTTTTCACCCAGAAAAATTCTTCTTTAAGTCGACCGAGTGAAACTCGGAGAGGCTTATTCTGTTGCAAGAGAGGTAAATGAAACAGCTTTATTTTTTCGATATATGTTTTAATTATTAAGTAATGAGTCTCAAAAGTTGAACATATTTTCAATAACTTTTTTACGAGATAAAGAATTTCAAATTACTTCAGAAAGATTACGATTTGACACTTGAACAATTTGTGCATAGACAAAATGATTCGATATACCCTGGCAGAGTATTATTAGTTTTCTTTTGTTTGTATTATTTTCTTCCTTTACAATCAGTTTATTTCGTTCTTATCTGTACATGTATACACATTTGAGAAAAATTTGGAATAAAGTTATAAAAAAACATATGGTTTTTCTTCGTTCTTCACCCTACTATATAATATGGTACTATGAAAGAACAAGGTTATTTTCTCGGACGGTTGTATTCCGTCATATCTAGTGAAACAGAAATTCTTTTGGGAATATATGACCCCTACCTTGAAGTATAGTATTCTATACTTAGATCGAAAAATAGCAAACTTCAATTTTCTTCTTAAATATCCGTCTGGATGCACATTACGGGGAGGTTCCCTTAATTGAAATCAGTTTTATTAGTTTCATACGTATTGTAACATTGTATAAAAGAATTTGTCGTTTCGTTTTCGAAAATGCTTGTAGATCTGTACCGTCTCATCCATTAGTAATCTCATGTTTAATGCAAGTTCATGCAGCGTATCTGTAATATTATGCTCTATTGTGCGCTGGTGTGCGAATTGCTCATGTGTCTAATCCGAATTGTATTTTTCCTACCAAAAATCAAATAATATCAGCAAAAACGCGAAAAACGGCAGATGACGTAATTTACTAGACTATCAACTGTACTCATCTGTTCTATATCCATCATGGCATCTATCATTACTTTTTACATAAATAGTGGGAGAAATAATTTACCATGGAAAAGAATAATAATAATGTATTTTAATCTCCTATATTGAATATGAGAAAACTGTTACCATGCTTTACATATTTACTTCAAAATATGAAAGAAAATTCAACTGTTTTACTCCATAAATCCGCATTATCTGACCATAAGAATATGTGAACTGCTAAGCATATTTGTTTAATTAAAAATCCAAAATTGTTAAGAATACTGCGAAAAATAGGAGGTTCCAGATGGAAGTATTAATTGTATTCATCTATACCAATTTCATCACTTCATCTGGTATCAGTTACCAAATAAATAACGAGAGAAAAATCATAATGATAACCTCAATTATAGTAACATGGTAAGATAGCATTGAAAAACAATAAAGCACGAGAGATTCCCTCTCACACGTTCTCAAAATATGAAGAACTTTGTGTTATTTTCCTTCATTTATTTATAAAATTTTCTATGATTTACATCTAACTGGCAATGTACAAAGGAATTTTTTCTTTTTGTTGCCTCTTTGAATAGTGCGATGATTGTTGCTGTTGTTCATAACAACTTTTATGTCTTCTATCCACTATATTAATATTTGACAAACTATTTTGAATTTTATCCCTGCTGCGATCTCGTCTCGAACGACGACGTTTATCAACAAAAGCGCTCTTGTTATTATTGTTATTGCTGTAAGCGGGAAGTGGTTCCTCGATATTTGTTGTCAATAAAAAACTCAATGGTAGACCAACGTGTTCTCTCAATGAAGTACTGTTATACGCATACGGTGAACGAGATGTTGTTGAATGCTGTAGTTGTAATGATGTATCGCGTTTTCTTCTTGGTGGTAGTGGTGGAGCTATTTCAGTGTGTGTGATTCCATACGAGTGATTATTATCGTATATACTCAGTCGACGATTAGAAAATGATTGAGGAAAGATTTGTGTACGATTATTGAGCATAGAACTATAATTATTTGTACTTAATGAACGACGAGAGAATGGTGGTGGATGATGATTTGGTTTTCCGTCATCTGAATCACTTGACGATGAATTTAGAGTACCATTGTTAGATATCAAAGAATTTTCATTTGAACGGATGATACGGCGTTGTTTTCGAGTGCGAGGTATTCGTCGTTGTCGTTGTTTATTTATTTTGTTCATCGATAAATCATCTTCGCTCGATTTACTATTTGTACATAAAATATTTGAAAATGCTGTTGTATCACCTTTTATTTTTCGATGAGACGATGATGTTAGTGAATTAGTATTGTCAGATAATTTACTAAAATTTGTCATAGTTAATAGTGGATAAGTTTTTGAAATGATAAGTGTGTCATCTTTTGAGTTTATTACAACTGGATGTTGAATAACCGATGGTTTTTTCAATAGTGACGTGGTACTTACGTCATCATTTATTCGATAAGTGGATGTAACTAATTCACGTATGGGTCGCGCATTTGACGATGATACCGATAAGGAGACTACACGTTGTGGACTAACTTTTGTTGTTATTTCCAATGGTTTACTATTTGTTACTGATGACCGATTAGTTAAACTATCATAATCTTCATCATGACTTAGAGAATTTGCTAGTGAATTGGAGTTGGGCATGTTATCGTACAGTTTGTTATCAAACGACGGTGCTGTGGAATATTTATTTAAACTTTGCTCACATTCGATGGTTAATGCTCGAAATAAATCATCTAATGTTAAACTATTTAGTAATGGTTTTGATGGATAACGTTTACGTGATTTTCGTTTACGGACTTGAGAACTTGAACGCTTAACACAGCCGTTTTCCCTTGCTGTTGTTGTTGATTGATCGTCAGAACCGCCACCAGAATCACTAATTGTTGGTGAATGGTGACGATTAAAATCGCCGTTGAGTAGTGAAATAGTCGGTTCGTTTAATTTGAGTGCGGGAGGAGATGAGTTTACTTGATATAATTGTTTTGTAGGATTAGGTATAAATGGAATGAATATTTGTTTTATTTGAACGGATATTGGTGGTTTGCTCATGTGAGTGACTACAAAGTTTAAAAATTTTGATGATCTCTCTGTATCGAACTTTAAAAGATAAATAAAAAGCGCTCTATTGTTCAAAAATAAAACATATGCAGGACTATCGATTAAATACTCAAAAAGGTATTGCGCAGTTTTAGACGTCATTAGGTAGCACATTTGATCATTTGATTTCCAATATTTTAAGATTTTCACATTTTTTTCATTCTCTAATTGAGATGTTTATATATACAATAAAATCATCTCATATCTGGTTTATAACCATATGATGTGCAATATCTTTTAAATATTCGTTCGATTCTATTTACGAATCATCGTTTATATATTGTTTGTTATCTGATAGCATAGAAACCTGTAGGGTAGGTCATTTTGTCTCTCTGATAAGTGTTCTCGTCAACCCTTCTATTTATATGTTCTGGAGTTCAGAAGATGTGACACGTTATTTATGATAAAGGCAGCTCTTATAAAAGAAGATATGTGTAAAGCCATATTTTCTCGTCCTTTAAAGCCAGACATTCATATCTATAAAATTCTTGATAAATGAATGATAAAATAATAAATTTCTATTACTTACTGTTATTGCCGATGATTGATTAACAGATAAAATCGTTGTTGATGAAAAAAAACAATTTTCGATCTTGTTAGTGGTACTTTTTTCCACGGGTATTTTTACTTCGCCAACTTTAAATTAAAACTCAGACAAAAATATGATGTTGTAGAATTTTTTCTGTTACTGTGAATGACAGCGCTATTTAATAATCATAACCAAACACAGAGAGAACTTTTTCTCTTTCTTTTCCTCCTTTTTCTAGTAATTTTTTTTCTAGCGTAAAAGGACACGAGAGAGAGAGAAAGCGAGCAAGGTCTTACAAGATCATCAGTATTATTATTAGACTACAGATATCTACACGCTACTAGTGCTATGGTGAGATGAAGGAATGTATAGTAAAACACAAAATTTTTGTTTTTTCTTTAAGACAAGGAAAAATAATAGTGTCTGATAATAAAAACATCGAAAAAATCAAATGCACAAAGGAATAGTTCTTACCAACTAGATCATCTGAAAAACATTGAGTTATTTTTAACATCAAGAAATAAAAAGGAGCTACAGTCGATTAAACACTTCAAAGTCGTCAAAGCTGTTTGACGTTAAACGACTCCAGTCATTATTGTCTCTCGTTCATTTGTTTTATTTCTTTTCCTTTTTACTTTTGTAATATTTCGATATGACAGAATAATAAGAGAATACACTCATCAAATCAACGTCCCGATGGAATAACAAAACAAAGACGACTAGAACTAAAAACTAAAATAGATTATGTCGTTTTTCAGTCACAATCACCTTCAATACTGTTAGAGTAGGATGGGGTAATTAGAACAGGGTTTTTTTAATCTTCGTATTTTCATTCTCTCTCAGTTAGCTTAGGACATTTTTGGATAGTTCCTTGGCAAGGGTTGTAGAAGAGATATTTTTCTGTCGAATGATCGTTTTCGTATTTGTAAATTTTCTTTCCTTCAGGTTCAGAAGCATATCTACGGTTGACTGATCTCGACTGTTATAATTCCCCGCATGTGAGAAAGAAATGACAACAATCTGTGAAAAATACACGGGATATTTTAATAAAAGTAATTTGAATTTTATATTTGTATTTTAAATTACTTTTGCACATCTCCTTAGTATGATACGTAGACGATTTTCAGGTCTATTGCCTGATATGGATCAGATCACAAGCAGACAATATTTGACAGAGATAGCTCTATTCAAAATGCGACTGATAAAATTATTTTGTGTTCTTTCTCACATGCGAGGAATTAGAATAGTCAAGACTAGTCAACCGCAGATATGATCCTGATTCTGAAGAAAACGGAATTTAGAAAAACGAAAACGACCATTCGACAGAAAAATATCTTTTCTACAACTCTTGCCAAGGAACTATCCAAAAATATCTTAAGCTAACTAAAGGAGAACGAAAATACGAAGATTTAAAAAACACTTATAATTGCCCCACCCTACTCTATCTTTCATATATTTTTTTCTTCCTTTTCAACTGAGTGAAAATTTGTAACATTTTCAAAAAATATTGTTTTGTTTTAACTGCAATTCTTTTGAACATTTTATTTGTATTCTCTTGTAACAACGATAGCGTTGTTCTGGATATATTTAACTTCAATGTCAAACAAAAAACTCAAATCACTAATTATTTTTTCTCTTTCTGATCATACATCGGACTTGAGTATATACTCTACTTGAAAGAGAGAACACCAAGCCAAACACTCATATAACCTTAAGGTTATTATTCTGATTATTACAACTATACGCTTAGATGTTTTTTGCTTACATTTTCTTTTTTGCTTTCTTGTGATTTTGAGTATAAATGTGTGTGTGTGTGTGTGTGTGTGTGTGCATGTAAGAAAGCATTAGCAACTAAGACAGAACTAAATAGATCTCGTAGAAAATTTTTATTGATTATAAACATACTTTTGATGATGTTCTCTATCTAATGCGAACTGTGTTTTATAACCTTCAAAAGTTAAATATTTACTTGTTATACAAAATGGATATGGTTAAAGTAATCATCTATTACTATTTATGCAAAATTTTTTATCAAAATTTTCTTGTGTCTATCCAGTTTGTCATGTTGAACTTATTTTTTGAGCATGTGCAAAACTTTTTATCTATTAGAATCCAATAGAAATCCAACAGATTCGGCGTCAAATTTTAGCGAAAAATATTCCGTTACTGATTATTTTAATCATTTCTTCATTAGTATACTTTGATATACATATCAGATAGTCGAGCAACTTGTGGATATGTATATCTAAAGATATTATTATTATTATTATTATTACGAGAAACTATTTGCGTGTCGAGAATCTCTAATTGCAGTATATTACACTTCTGAACAGTTTCTCTATATATTTATATTTGTTTCTTCTTCCTCATTCGAGTATGAATAATACCATATGTAAATGATATAGAAAAACTATGTTAAAAAAGTTATTGTCTTACACACATGATGTATACGATTATTTCCGTAATTTGAAGATGATTTTTTATGAAATATTTTTCACTCATACTATCGATGGTTCCCACCAAAATGTATTGTGATCTATCAAATTTTTAGAATTTGTTTGCGTGTTGATGTGATAGATTATGATAGACAAAAAGAAAAACGAATGTGATCATTTCGATGATGATAATAATCTATATCATGCATTAGAAAGTTCAATTAACTAGTGACAACGTTTCGTGATCCTAGACAACTCATAACACTTGATCTTGAACGAAAAATTATCTGCAGCGATACTTGAACTGAGAAGAAAGATCAGTGAGTATTAGTACTAGAAGTAAGTGACCTAGAGAGTACAGTGAACATCGGTGATAAAAATATCAATTGCATTTAAGTGATATATACAAAGCGGCAAAGGCCTGATAACACCACCAAGTGACAAAGAAAATGTAAAAAAATTTTCATCCAAGCTCTAGAAGAACTGTCAAGATCTTGAAACGTTTTGACTAAATTTACTCAAGGCCTTAATAACGAGAAGTTTTTAGTATGAAGATGAACACATAAAATATATGTTTTTATAATATTATTATAGTAAATAAGATTATAGTTTATTATAATCTATTTCATGTAACATACGTTCGATTAAGCTCAGTGATGTTATCAGATTTTCATTTGGCTGAAATATTTGTATGATATTCACATATAAGAAGAGGAAACTTATACCCTTTGAGCATACTCAACAATTCAAAATATTTTGTCATCTCGTCAAGTAGAACGAGTGCTCAAAGATCCTTCAGGATGTGACTTTTCCTTTTTTATATTTTTTTGACTGCATCGATTTTCCCAAACAATACATACCATGTTCATAATAGGTACTGCAGTGTAATTGAGCCCTCTGTTATATTTCACTCGAGTAGATCATACGTGGTTGATGCTTACTCTCCATCTTACAATTTTGCTGATTCTCGACTTTTTATCATAAGAAAATAACACACATATATTAATAATATTACGTATCTTGTTGAACCTCGTTAAATGCTTGATGAGCTAGCTAATTAGTGTTTATAACAATTTGCAGGACTAAAAATGTCGAACAGTTATTGATCAATTCACTACTCTTCCGTGTTACTCGTCAGTACTCCCAAGCCCCATATATTTGCTCGCTACCTTTGAAACGTATGCTAATTAATCCTGCGAGATCGAAAAGTATCATAGGAGAAGTTTATTAATGTATAGTTCTAACATACTTCCATGACCTACTCATAATACCTATTTTCTGGCACTGTAAAGGAGGGGAGCGTAACACCGTGGTAGTGAGCGATCAAGTACTTTTGTTCATTCAAGCAAAAATGAACAATCTTTATATCATCTTAGCCATTACAACGAGTTATGAATTAAACTGGTATGGCATAAGCAAACTCTTCGCCAGATTACAGAAAACGCGAAAGGGATTGTGAGAAAAATGGTACATTTCATGTGTTTTAACTACACTAAATTGTCGTTTTGAGGACAAAATTTGAAAAGGATATTAGAAGTTGTTGAAGATAAATGCAAATTCAGTTTGCAATAAATGTAGAAATATTACACTCTTGCTGAACTGTAGTCAACAGGGAACAAAGAAAGAGAGGGAAAAGAGATAATATTTCTGTTTCTCTATCTTTGCAAATTATAGATGAACTATGCATCCTCATGATATATTTAATGTATACAAATTAGAGAGATATGTAAATGAGGGTTCATAGCCGTGAAATGTCATTCCGAGCAAAATACAATATATAAAAAATGTAACAGAGTCTGAGAATCATCGCTAAAAGAAAAATAACTCCCAAGCCCATGGCTGCAGAGACCGTTACTGGGTCGTAATCAACCGTAAACGGTGAAAAGACGGTGCTTTCCACCCGTATCCAGCATGTAAGAAGGCCGTAATCGGCAGTAAGTGAATTGGCATCCATGTACCCGTAATACGCACGGCATGTTCGTCATGTC